AATAAACTACGAAGAATTTAAGTACATGGAAAACTTCCAAATTAAGAGGGTACGAGTATGCGAATACGACCCAGATGGAAAAAACAAAGTGTACCCGTGGCTAACATCCAAGTTAAAAGAATACAGATGGAGGTTAAATCAGAATCGTGCAGGCGCGCCCGTGTGCGTGTATACTTGTAAATAAGCGCGCGCAGCACGCAACGCGACACGGTAAAAGTACAGCGCCTGGGGCGCGGCACGATATTGCATTACTAACGAGATATTAGGTAACACACGCGTGTATGTGTATACATGATACGTAGGTAGAGAGTCTACTAAATCGTCGTGTTTTACCACGAACATCTGCGAAGGCTTTCATTAATTTCCTAGAGCGCAGCGAGTGCATCGCATTTAATTCGATCTCATTACGAAGCACCGGCTGCAGGCTGCGCGCGCAGCTGGCTCTTGCGACGGAAAGTTGCGCGCGCAACTGGCTCTTGTAATTGAAAGTGGCGCGCGGTTTTAAAGCAGAGGTTCAGCGCGAGATATATACAATCGTTCTTCTCGTTTTTTTTTTCGCGTCGTACAGGATTGAATCGTTAGATTAGGCTTGAAGCTTTATCGAGATTGATTAATTTTTCATTTATAATACGCTTGAAGCCACGAATCTTTCAATATTTCGAAATTATTTGGAACATATGATTTACAATTAACCCACTTTCATAATTACCGATACATACATAGAAATATGCGAGTCGTTTCTTCTAATAATTTTGTTTACGTAATTTAGTAATGTACCTAGTAACTTATAGTTAATATTGATCTAGTAATATATTTTATTAAATCCTCGTAAATTTTTATAAATGTTTTGTTATATAGGAATACCTATGCTGCTCTGTTGAAGAAAACTAATGAAAGCCGAGTGCGAAATATTTCTTTAGCGATACTTCAATTAATGTGTTCTATTGAAATAGAAATGTCTGATCTAATCTACTGTCGAGCTACGATGAAACATCGATCGTAACGAACTGAGACATTTGGTCTCCGAGGATCGTTTTATCTTTTATTCAAGCCAATGATTTCCAAAGTGTTGTATGTACAAACTGTATGAACTTTCGACGAGATTGAAAAATCAATTTTACCATTTGAGGTTATAAAATATATTTCTTGAGCCTTCGATTTCGTCCTGAGAAACCACGTAAAATGTTTATAAGAGCATTTTTATAATTCGTACTACATGATCCACTACACTAACGTGAACAAAAGTGTACATTACGATTATTTTTTTTATAAAACATTTTCACACAGATTTAATAGCACGTTTGAAAATGATACTATATAAAATTGTTCAATGCAAATTAATATTTGCAGTGGAAATGCATTTATGAAGATTTTTTTTGTGGAATATTTCCTTTATAAAGGAAAACCAAAAATGTGAAAATAACGAAATATAAATTTTTTGGAAAAAAAATCCTAACTTTCGACTAATGAAATATTTGAAAAAGTTTTGATTTAGAGCCAACTCGAAAACTTTTCGTAATACAATTTTCCTAAACTCTCTCAACACGTCGCGCACTTTGGAAATGGTTGGCCTACGAGTATCGAGTTCACCTTAAAGCAGGTTTCGAACACGAATGAAAAAGAAGATTAATACTGACTACTTGCCAAGAGGGACTTTTCAACTTTTATCGTCAGTCGTTAAGTGTACAAAGGGTCTCAATGTAACAATTAACACGTACAACATAAGGATTCTGACCAAAAAACCTTAGAATATACTTCAGAGAACTGAGATTATTAAACCAGGTTCTCGATCTGATTGTGTATGGCCTGTAGAGAACGACCGTAAAATAACGAGTACTTATTGTTAGAGAATTATACATTGTTGAAATGTGGATAAAATCTATTACGTAGGTAATAGTGCGAGTGTGGGCAGCATGAACATGTACAAGCCTCTTGATTGTTCGAATAATTCCATTTCCTCCATTGAAAAGCTCTATCATCATAAATATCGTTATTATTAATACATGGTAATTTACATTTGAAATAATAAAATAGTATTATTTTATTATCGTAATGATTAATACTTGCATATTTGTAATTAAAATAAATCATTCCTATAATTAAAATCACAATACTTCGATATAAAAAATGGAAAAATTCGAAGAAGAAACATCGTTGAACGAAACCTATGCGCAGCGTTCAAAATTGTTTCCTAGGTTAGAAATACTTTTGATAAAAAAAATGAGAAAATACCTTGTCTCCTTTTCCAATAGAATAGATAAGTATTATAAAGTCTACGAAATGTATGTAAATATTTTTTGCGTTCACGTTATTGTAAAAATAGTGAATATATATATATATTTTGTTCATAATAGGTGACATGATATTTTTATTGTTTTACGCTTGAAAAATGACAATGGGAGGCTTGTGCAATATGGCGGAGTTTTGATGTTCCTCGCGTGTGCATTCGTGCACCGTGACATTTAGATGTTTTTTATGAAGGATCATAAGATCTCGTCGTACGTACGACAGATTTTAGAGATTTTATGGATGTTACACGACTTGCTCGTGATAAGGGCCGTTTAGCGAGTAATTCCTATTTCTATTGAAAGTAGCTGTTGTTTTACGTAAGAAAACTAAGAAACACAGAGATTTATCAGTTTCAAGACGCGGCTCGATATACTAAACTGTCTATTGCAATGACCAACTTGATAGATTGCTCTATGTATTACAATATATTATTTCTTCTGGTGCATTTGTAACAAATAAATAATTAAACAGATATCTTGGGCTAAGTTCCTTTTCCCGCCGGAATCCGTTACGTCATCAAAAATTACATATGGTATCCGATCATACGAAATCTGTATTAAGAAAAATTCATAAATGACTTACCGAATCCCTAAATGTTTGATTCTGTAACCATTTTCCTCTTAAACCATTCCTCTTGCACTTATGAAAACACACGTATAGTTTGAAAAGATATATGCACATTATTTTTTGGTAAATCAACGAAATTCTTGCTAAACAACACTTTTTACATACTGTATAAAGACGCGGCATTTCACTTGAAGAATCTTTCGAATTAAAACAGTCGATCTATGTACATAAATCGATGGTGAAAGGAAACAATGGAAAAATAGGAGCGTGATAACGCCATCTGGTTGGAAACTCCAAAAAAGGCGCCAAATATTTAAACGTATTAAATATCCACATGTTAACTATTGCATAAAGAGCTTATATGCAACTAATTACTTTAATCAGTAAAGTAGAAAACAAGACGAATCCTTTAATCACATTAAGCATTGTATATTTTTTCAAATGCAATACCAATTTAAAACACAAAATAACAAAGTATTTTTGTTTAACGTATTATTAAACATATTGACACAGGAAATGAATAGACCTAAAGAGAACAGTATACAGATAGTGAGAATTCTCATACTTTTATTCTATCAATTGTTCCAACATTTGTACGAGCTGGATTATTGTCGACGCTATGAAATATAAAAAATGAAAACACTGTGAAATATATAAACATAGAAATCGCACGCGAATACGATTGATCACAAATTAGAAAGAAAAAAAGAATCACAATAATGCTATGTAAGTGTACTATAGTTCTGTACATTTATTTCTGCATTCTATAATTTGAAGACGATAATTATAATTAATAATGATAATCAGAATAATAGGTATTGATGATATGATTATATCCAAACAACAATTGGTAATCTCCTATCTAATATTGTACAGCTCTTAATAATTTATAGAAATTAACACGGACTCGTAACAATTCATAACGCATATGTTCAGCTATACCGCAGGAACTCTTAACGCGACTGGAAAAGGAGAATGAGCTGCCTAATCGATATCTCCTCCCTTTTTCACACTCTCTCTCCTTATACAGTCGCGATTCAACAAGCCGCAAAATATAAGTGAAATATTAAACAATCTCATATTTGCTTGCGCATTGAATATCAATACTTAGATACTAAATACTTAGAATGCGCAATCAACATGATACCTTATTATACAAAATCTCTGTTCAATGCGCCATTTTTTCGTGAAGACAATTATGGAAAAAAGGAATAAAAATTTTCATTAAACATAATAATTGATTAATTTGTTGAGATATACGCATATCAACTATATCCAATAAAAAGCAATTTGTAAAGGATAAGTTGTTAATACTAATGCAGGCTAATCCCATGTACAATGCCAGATGTTGATAGGAAGACTACTAAGTCGTAAATGTAATTCGTGCAAACTAACATGATTTGGAGCTAAACATTTGAATGATAAACGCAATATAACGCCTACTAAATTAAAATACAAAAGAAATTCGTTATTTCATTATGGTATTCAAAGAATTGACACATTACAGCAAACGGGAAGACTACAAAAAATTACTAGAATAATTTTCCTTTTGTGAACACCATTTTCCTTCTTTTTTTTATAAGCTCACATACATTACATTCTAATTTTCTCGATCGTAGACATATATGCATACAAGCATACGCAACAATGAACACGCATACGCGTACCCACACGCACACATATAAAATTGTGATGCAAATGAAAGTTTATGATGTCTTGACATAATAATAATTTAACAAAGTTTGGGTTTCTGAATAAACAGAAGTTCTATTTATACGGGGATATAATTAAACGTACTCAAATAAATCTAAAATTCCTCACGCTTTAGAGTTAAGCATAAGTAAAAGCGGACAATTCATCACTTGATTTTTCTGTATGTACATATTTACCTTAATACATAAAACAAAGCGACCACTGAAGTGGTACTGCTTTATAGCAATCAATGAAACTCGACGGTTTCAAATAATACTTGAAATAAGTACACCGTACGAGTTAGAAACTTACAAAAGTAACATGGCAATCAACTAATGACTGACTTCTTATGAAATTTAGAAATTGTTACAAGGAATGAGTACATTATTAAGATGAAACTAGACGTAGAAGAAAGAAAAATGTCAATTTCTCCCACGAATTAATCACCTGCACCATTTGTTTATTCTCACTCATACCTTGCATCACGTACGACAACGATTATGTTACAAGACTCTCTTTATATGCTCACGCCGTCGAAAATCAAAATTATTTTTTATCTCGAACAAAGAACTAAACTGACTAATAAAATATCTTCGAGCGGGCAAAAATCTCTTATATATTAATTTCTTATATACGTTTGATAATATCGTGAGTAGACTTTTTGGCATTAAAAAGTCACAATCTTTTTTGATAAAGAGAACAGAGAAAATACACATTTCCAAATTTGAAGTAAGTTCTTAATTAATATTCAACCACGGCTCGTAGAACTCACACGATGGTTGTCAAATTTTTGCTAAATTGGAAAGCTTGAATATCAATATCACTTCACCTATTACACTCTTCATAAACCTCTTCTCATCACGAAGCATACATTCTGTTGATGTCGGCTTGGTAACGTTCTTGTACTGCTTTTCTTTTGAGCTTAAACGCAGCTGTTACTAGTCCCATGTCCGGTGTCCATTGTTCCGGACATAATTTTATAGCACCAGGAATTTCAAATCTCTGGAGCTTACCTAAATTAAAAACAAAAATTTGGTATGTGCCGGAAAACATCGAGAAAATTAATATTTTATAAAAAATTGTTTCAAACATTTACTTTTTTTGGCTTGTTCAACCAATTCTTGTAATACCGCTTTCTCAATTTCTGGATTATTACAAAGTTCCTCTAAGCTCTTTCCAGAAATTCCCAGATTATTCGCAATTTGCTCTAGATAATAATGGTTAGGTACTACTAGTGCAACTGTGTAAGTCTTATGCGAATCGCCATACACACAAATATTCTCCACAACAGGACTTGTTTTCAATTCTGCTTCGACTTTACCTAAAGAGACATATTCACCTAATTGTAACTTAACTAAGTCCTTCTTTCGATCTGCAAAAATAAATATTAATCCAATAAAAATACATTAAATTATATTTTCCGTAATGAGTTTAATGTTAGGATTAAAACAAACCTATAATTTTTAAGCATCCATCTTTGTGAATTTCTCCAATATCACCGGTTCTGAACCACTGTTTCCCATCTTCTTGGAAAAATTCTTTCGTTTTATCTGCTAATTTATAGTAGCCATCCGAAACGTTTTCACCACCAACTATGATTTCTCCTCTAGGATACGGTGTATCTGTAACTCTGTAACCAGCTTCTTCCCAATTTTCTAAACGAATATCGCAAACTGTAGTTGGTCCGCCTACTCTTCCTGTACTTCTGTCCCACCCTAAAAAAAAGAAGGATTGTATGACTTAATATGTTAAACAAAAAAATGTAATAAATGAAAAGAAGAAAAAAGGAGGACGAAACGTACGATCCATAACTGTAGCACAAGAAGTTGTTTCAGTCAGACCATATCCTTGAGCAACAGTAAGACAGAGACAGAGTTTAACTTGAGTCTGTGTCTCTGGGGTCAAAGGTGCACCACCACAAAGTATAAGACGAACCTTTCCACCAAGGACTTGCCTGGCAGCTCCAAAGATATATTTATTGAAAATTGGAGTATCATAACCACGTTTATACCATTTCAATTTGTAGTCATATGCAAATTTAAAGATTGCTTCTCTCAGAGGACCCGATTTTTTTACTTTTTCATTGATACCTTTAGATATACGATCTAAAATAAGCTAAAGAACGCAAAAATAAAATAAAATTACTACACAGTTGTATTTCAATATGATACAACAGAGTAACTAGTGCAGATATCATATTTTTAAAACTTACTGGCACAGCAGTCAAACAAGTTGGATGCAAAACTGATGCATCTCCTTTGGAACCTCTTTGAATCTTGCTACTCGAATCAATCATAGTAAGAGGTGAACTATAGCCAATAGGCACACCAGTTAAAAGGCACACAGTCTCAGAAAGGAGTTCAAACACATGAGCCAAAGGTAAGAATGCAAGAAATACGTCGTCTGCTCTAATTTCAACGCCATTGCAAAACGCTTTCAACACAGAGATCACGTTCTTGTGTGACAAAAGTACACCTTTTGGTATTCCGGTCGAGCCAGATGTATACATTATAATTGCAGTATCTTCGCTTCGTGGTGGGGATGATGGTGCGTTAGAAGAACTACCTTTCTTGATAACGTCAGAAAATGGGATGAGTTTAACACCGTCCTAAAATGTAACAAACAAATACATAAACCAATGGAAATTTGTATATAACATTTTCTAGTGATTTTAAACTGGTTTTTAAACCGTGTAAGATTTTTAATTTTCAAATAACATGAAATATATTCACACTTATATAATAAAACAGAAGACAAAAACAGGCTTTATTTGATTCAAATAAAATATTCTGTAGCAAATTTTATTCCTAACATATTTTTCCTGAAAAATAAACTAATTTAATTCATGATTCTTTTCTTCTTTAACGATTATACGCATGTATTAATGATGAAAAATATGCCTCTTTTACATATTGATTGATGGATTATCCTTCACGTAACGTTTATCGGACGTCCTATTAATTTGTCACGCCAAATGTCGTCCATTTAAAACATTCTACGTATTACAGATATAGTAGAGCAGAATACTCACTTTGTACCCACTAGTGTCTGTGGGTTTTAGCTGATCTTCCATGTAAATAATAGTTTTGACATTATGTACCACTTTCAGAAGCTGTTTGAATTTTGGCAATAAATCGTGACTGGTAATCACAGTATCGACTTCCGTTTCGTTAATTCCGTGAGCAATAGCTTCCTCGCCCAAGGTCGCGTAAATCGTGACTACAACCAAATTTTGCTTGAAACAACCATAGGCCGCTATCATCCATTCTTCTCTAGTCTCAGCAAGAATCACGATGTTTTTACGCGCAGTGAGGCCATATTCTTTTAAACCTCGACTAAACGATACCATAAGCCTGTCGACGTCCGCATAGTTTTTCCATTTATACTCTCCCATTCTATACTGTAACAAAATAATTATTGATAAATTTCTTTATATATAAATTAAACTATAAGGGATACATTCAAGAATTTGTAAGGTTGATTCGAATTTGATTAAAGAGAAAATATTGGGTATCATTTTAGCAAAGGACAATATTACTAATAATTTGCATTTATCTACACAGTCTAATAAGAGATAAATCATGGCGTCAGAATTAAAATTATTATTCATTTAGCTTCTCTCGCATTTTCATGTCACTTTTCTCACAAACCACTTTCTTTTTAGCTACAAAGAAGCTCCAATAGATGAAGTATCCACAATATATTAAATCCCACCCGTCCTTAGCTTTTCAATATGTACCATCAAGTAAATCCATTTTGGAGTACATGAAAAAACACCTTAAAAAACATGTCTCCTTTCAGCTCCTTTAAAGAAAATAACCTTTCCAAAAATAAACATATCTGGAATACAATTTTTGTCTTTAATCAAATCGTATGTAATGTATATATTGGTGTCTAAGATAGAGAGCAATCACTTCTAACTGTACCTTTTTAAATATTCTACCATTGGCTTGAACTTCGTCCTCTTCGGCAAGTATCTCTCTTGTGCCGAGACACTTCTTGTCAGTGTGCTTCTTAGAGATCCAAGACATCATCTTTTCAAGCGTGTCGATATTTTCACGCTCGAGCGCGATGTGCATCGGCCCTGGCACCTCAACCGACCTATACGTGACCATCTGATCATCCTTCGAGATGGCACGAGCCTTAATCCTTCGCGAAGCCTTTATCGTCTTCCAGGGCCTTTGAAGCACGAGATAGACCGGAAATGTCAACAGGTCGTACACATAAGAAATCGCCTTAATCGCGCTGATCGCGCTGGTAATCCAGAAGCTTTCCATCTCCCTATAAAAGACAAGGAGAGGTTAAGTAAGACCTTGTTCGTCGAATGTTACGATATCCTGGAATAATTCTTAATAATTAGAAGCTTCAATCATAAACAGCATCGTTATAAACACAAAGAAGGTCTATCAACATTAAAATCAAGGATCTAAAAAAAAAAATTCTCATTCTTGAATTTACGTAAAGTGGAGTCTGTTGCTGCCTAAGATTATTATGCAACTAGGATTGGCAGTAATTCCGTAAGATTATAATTTATGGAATGCGGGATGTCAGCATGATAAATAATTGTAGTGGAGATCAACATTTGCAGAATCCACGTATTAACATTTGCATTGCGTTATACGTATATGCGTAAAAGCATTTCAAATTAATTTATGCTAATTCTAGAATACAAAATGTTATATGAATATTTCCACGAAATTCGAAATCGAGAAAGATATTACTGGTAGGTATAGAATGGTAGCTTTCATTCAGGAAGCGCCATTTATGGGGAAATTCTTATTGTTAGACGTATATAGCATTACATTATCTGCATTGGAGATTGTATAACCGATATTAGTATTAATGCTATGAATATTCGCGACAGTTTACCATTAGTCGATATCAGCAACAGTAGAAAAGAACTTGTATTAGAATAATGTAAATATTTCTACAGGAAGCATCAAACATTGCTATTCCACATATCGTTTTGAATAAAAATAAAAGAAAGACAAAGCTTAGAAAAAAATATTGCAAGTACATCGTAAATAAACAGGTATATACATAAATCTGGACGTTGCGTAATATGTCTCGTAAATTTTAACGAATACCCATTCCTCGCATCCATGCAAGAAGCTGAATATTCTGCTCAAGGTTGTACCACATAAATACAGTATATATTTAGCACAGATAACAAAAAAGGAAAAAAGACAAAATATTTTTATTATGTAAATTATGTACAGCCACAGTGGACCAAACGAAACTACAGGAACAAAGGTCATTCAGATATTCAATTAACTGCTTAACCCTCCACCGATAAAATGGTAAAATGAAATTACAGTGATCACAACTCTAACTCCCAAAATACCATATCTACTTACATTTATAGTATTTTAACATGCATTGATATTAATTTCGTAAAAAAATAAATTCATATCTTCTTTCAGTTATTTTTAGTCAATTTAATCGATTTGCTCTTACGAGTTATATAGGGGACTTTTCGTCGCACCAACTGAAAAATATGATACCGATCATCGATGAAGTAAACAACGCGCCAATAATATTCCCTTTCAACGCTACTAAATCTAGAGGCGTCGTTGTCCCATTTTGATTCGTCTCTAACAACAATCAAACGATACATGAAGCTGTTTCTTTCATCTTTAACGTTCGTACAGTGTATCCTTCGATATCCTTGTAAGCGATCAAACAATTTCAAAGTGTAAATAAGGACAAAGGCGATTGAGGTATGCATCGTGCTAAAATAGCGTACATGGATCGCGCGATCGGGTGACGTAACCATCAAACTGGCCAGTGCCAAGTAATGGCGGTGAGTTTTGGCGGGATTAACCTCAAATATTGTATGAACAAATGAAAACTCGACGTGCAAAGAAAAGAGATAAAAGCAATAATGGAGGATAAAAAATTACAGGTATTTATACAGAATTCAAATATTTCTTCGTCCTTTCTTCGATTTATTTAGTTCTATGGCGATTATAGGGTACTACTACGATTTCAAATATAGACTTGGTAGCATGCGCTTGAAATACCTGGAACTATTTAAACATAGTATGCAATGCGAGCATCTCATGTGCACTGGTTACCTCTGAAATTTTGAGTTTATAGCCCCTCAATCTAATTCTTAATAATAATAGAAGAGTCTATGAAATTATAAAATTATAACTGAATAAAATACTGCAGTTATTTTTATTTCATATTGGCAAGAATAAAAGATGAATTAAATTTAATTCTGAAAGAAAGTTGAGAACCTCTGATTCACATTCCAGTGGGACTTTATTTTTATCCCTTATTTACTTCTAATGAATTGAACCAATGAACTACCTACTGCGTTATTACTTAGTTAAGCAATACGTTCTTTAAGTAGTTAATTGCTAATTAGTCTAATTCAATTGTTTCTAGATGATATATTAAATATATAATTACAGATGAAGCCGTTATATACATCAAAGTTTATTAGTCGTATCGCAATTTTGACCATCAAGCATCAAAAAAGCAAAATATTTTGACGATGACGATTTTCACATTCCACATTCTCGTAATTTTTCTGCTACGCTGTCTCGCAATTGCGTTATTATGTGTTTCCCCATATACTGGGTGTTTCAATTACTACAGTTAAGTTATTCGTTTTAAATAACAAAATTTATCAGTATCTGTTTGAATGTTTTCTTCCTTTTTAAATAATTAAACATAATGAATCAATTACTGAATTTAAAAAATAGAATAATATTTCCTTTGTTTTAGGAAGAGGAAATAATTGCAGTTTACAATTACTACATCGCTTACAGCCACATGATAACGTTACGAAAAAATTAGAACACCTAAAATCATTCAATCGCGACTCATAACGTTTTGTACCGTCTCAAAACGATAGAATGCGCCACGCGACACCCTATGTGCAGAGTACCAACTGGCACAAACACAATTGAAAGCGTGGCGTGACTGAAGTCTGGCGACAGGCACATGAGATTCGAATATCTCCACGGACTTTGAACGTCGTTAGCTCGTGACAGATGCAACTACCGAGCCACGCACATGGTCTTTTCGCTTATCTGAGTTTCCAAGGGCAATTCTCTCTATGCATCTACTAGTCAGAAGGGTAGGTACATACAATGGATACACGAAGTATATCCACCTAAAGATCAAGGTTAGTATCACTACCCATCGTCGAAAAAATTCAATAACAACTAATGAAACGAATGATGAAAATTAATTACACGGTTCAATCATCAAGATAAACCTTTGAAATTTATAATCATTTAAGCTTTTTCCGTCAGAGGACGCAATTTTGAAATGTCAATATCTTGTACTTAAAAAATGATAATTTTTGTAATTCAAATTTAGATAACTGGATAAGGAATGTAATTATAGAAAATTAAAAATAAAGGTGGCGCTAAGAAGCAAAAACAGATACGATCAACCATTAACAGAGAAAATATTATCCAGTCAAAAATTATGCATACCGTGGAACGTTATGCAATGAAGTAAAATTTAATTAGCATTTTTGGGAATAATTTGTACATGTTTAAAATGCTCATTCTCAAATTTAATGTCTATTTTTGAATTCACATCTTTATACCGTATTTTATTTGCAGATGTAACTATTCTTTAAGGACTTAAAAATATGTAAATACATACGTGCTAGTGAATATTCAATAACCATGAAGTAAGAAACGTCTCACTACTGTTCTAACTGAATATTTCACATTTACTATGAAACTACTTTTCAATCTATGCCATAATTTCGTTCAAAGGAACGTACATCTTACAATGAAGCGTATATGTAAAGAAAAGCTGAGAGTATAATTCTAAGTCTACATGCATTGTGCGCACACATGCGTAGCTAAAGATATTCATAACAATAACGAGCATAAAAAGACCGGCATAGTAATCTTTTTTTTCTATAGTTGCTACGACTCACGGTTTTTCCTCCACGATCATGATGAATCACTATCTGGTCACCTTTGTTCCTTTGAAAAATTGTACCTCCGGTACTTTAATAGTAGTCGTTTTGATGTGGATTAATGACACTGCAAGAAAAACCATTAGCAAAATCGATATGGTTAGTGGTATTTCAGGATGCATGCGTCTTTCCTCTCTTTATTACTACACATAAACATCGAAATCATTCTCGACGTGAGTACCGATTTTTTGCGACATAATCGCTCATGATGATTTATTCTGGGCATTAAATGATCCGTAATATCAATTCTAAACAAAGTAATGGAACGTCAAATGTCCAAAGAACAACAAACATAGCCGGCATGAACTATGCACTTGGCACGGACACTGATATAATCGTTATCGATATGTTTTCAATTTTAACTAATTTGTTAATTAAATTGTTTCATAACGTATACCAACAAATTTCGCAAAGCAATAAACAAACATGGAATGTCAAGGAATTAACAACTTCAAATGAATAGTATAATTCAAGGTAAACAATAATATTATTGAATCTAATCTACACTTTGTTAACAATTTTCATATTCATCTTTATGCATGTAAACGAACTGAAAGCAAATGAAGGCAGTATTTGACATAAGTGGCAGCAGCTGTCAATAGAAGAAATTGACAACAGAAAATCTTTCCTTCAATTTTTAGCTTAAGTTAGACCCTATTGAGGGAACGATTCTATATATGTATAGTTTCCGATATTTCTTGATTGTAGGTTAAGTTCCGTTCTTGGTACTAAAGGTCTTTTGCAATCACTCTGCTGCAGCAAGTTCCAGTTTAATTATCGATCCTGCGCAACAGATTTTTTAGTCGTGGATACATCGAAAATATTTCACGTTCCTTGCTATTTTTATACGCAGTATGAGAGGAAGTGGTAAAACAAAATATTTATCTATTTCAATTACTCACAACATTTGCATTATGAGTACTCTATACCGACTGTCAAAGACTATTAAGATGACATTGAATTCACTTGAAGGCTTACATAGTCTGTTAACTGTGTGGCAAGTACTTTGGTTAAGTGCACTTTATTCCACACGTGCTGCGACGTGCCGATTTATAACGAAAAAGTGTGTCGCAAAAATTGAAATATCATAAATGTTGATGTGTGAAATTAAAAAGTCTTACGAAATTGCATCAGACTGTGACTAAATTGAAATCCATTTAAAATTATCTCAGATACACGAAGATTATATTGAAACATTAATATTCGTTTGATCATGCATACATATGTATGTATATACACGTCAGATACAGGACTAATATGCTGACACCAGCATAATAAAAACTTATTATTCAAGTCCATAAGAAAATCTCTACTTTTTTTTAGTCCCTTTTGATAGAGTATTGATACATGCTAAAATATGTCACATGTCAAAAATTGGAAGTATAAAATACGAGCAAGAAGTATAAATTCTAACTGCGTTATGCAAATAAAACTGGGAATTGAGAAAAATGACAAAGTTTATGTAATCATTCAGATTTCAGCAACTTTGATTTACTGTAACAAAAAATAAACGCTTACAACATTATTACGAAATGAAATGCAGGTAATAATCTCGTTTATAAATATCTACATTCTTTCTTAAATTTAAAACTGATAAATCATGTCTTGCAGTTTTTTAGCATTAACGTTACCAAACGAATCTTTTGGTATGGCTATGTAACCTACTTTCTTAAAATAAAGTGTAACGATGAAAATGTTATGAAATTCTGTAAAGGACCAGAAATATTGTAAAAATTGTAAAAAATTGTTAGATAAACAGAATAACATCTATACCAAAAGAAACAAATGATAAACAAGTGAGGAGGACTATAGCTAAACTCTGTCTTCGAAAATAGACAACGGGGTCACTGAGCGACCATGCTGCTACCACGCGTTACACACAGCACAGTCTATATATACATATATACGTGTATTTACACGTATTCAAGCAACCCAACTTCGACCTTGAGCAATACTGCAGAGTCATGAGCTAGATATTCAATCTTAGCAATTGTAACAAAGATTTTTTACTTTCTGCAAAATCCTTGACAAGTGACAACACTTGCAACAGGTGACACTGATCAGTCTTTCTTTTCTATAAATATGTGAAATAAAACATAATTATGTGTTCTAAAGGGACAAATACACTGGTTGTATCTATACAATTATATCTATGCCTTTATCTTGCACTAAACAAATTATTCTAACAAAAATAATTTTAATTTAAAAAAGATTAAAAGATTAATATCTCTTTTTAATAAGATGTTCAAAGGTCAGCTTAACTGTATCTTTCCCTTTTCTATTTAAGTGCTAGATAAATAGAACGAATGATAATAGATTGCGTCTTATAACGGACTTAACAGCTTGAGTATATATATATTTTTTCTCTCACGTATATATAAAAAGAAATTCTAAAATTTTCTCGTGTTATGACATTAAAGTAACGAGTAAGTTAGGCAATTTTTCTTATTATTTCCTAAGTTGCTTTAATAAATTTTACAGAATTTGTCCAAGTTATTATATCTCCTGTATAACATATAATACATAACAATATTATTACACGATTAAGGAAATTGATTTTATACGACTAGCTTACAACTTTCTACATGTTTTAGCACTAAATACATCGTGGAATTTTCTTTTCAGTGATAGTTAACATGTGATACATGAAAGATTACTCTGCCAAAGAAATTAATAAACCTGTTACTTAACCCAAAACCTATGTTTACTAACATAACCTAACTAAACTGTAAATGCTATAGAAGGTTACAGTTTTACTAGGAAGATTACTGTTAACAAAGCAAAATGATAAAATTCACGTAATATCTATCATTACTTTTTATAAATATCATTTCACCTATTTCAATCCTATTGACTATTTCTCTTTTGCAGTAGCGGCTATAGCAATTAATTTGATTCGAATTCGGAATGAATCGAAGACATGCACGATTGCTGGATTTCGTGAGTAATTAAAACTTTTCACATAAATCCCAATACTTTAATTCCTTCTCTAACAATCGCTGCACCGAAAGTTTTTCAGCACAGGTAACGTGACAGAAAATTTATTTACAAAATAGAACTGAATCTGATCGCATGTTTATCGCTTCTTCATTTTTCTAGGTAGAACGTTACCACAAAAGGTGAAACAGAGTGCCTACAAATCGCACGTGCGGATCCAAATTGGAACGTTCCTATTGGTCAGCTTCCTGCTGGGAAGCGTTCGTGTGTCCCTTGGTCGCTTGCGAGCCACAAATCTGCTCGATCGCTCGAAGCTCTAATGGCTGGCATCCTCTGATATTAGGTCGAATTATGTAAACGAGCAAGAAACGGATTTCTATCGAACGCTACGGTAATTGCCTTATCAACGAAACACGGAATCGTGTTATTCCTCATAGTATTACAATGGCGTTAATATCTTGAAATATCTTAGACATGAAATATCTTAAACACCGTTCTTATAAAACATAGTACTGATAATGATCGAACATCAAAACGCGATAAAAATTGCTGAGGACAGTAATTCCAGTGGGAAATATTAAACGATTCGAAGAAATATTCCTGATTGCATACTGATTTCTGACTGGTTTCTGTGTATATTGGAATAAAAGAAAAACAAATGAAGCAATTTGTATCAATGATACGTAACGGTAAGGAAATTAATACAAGTGTATTACATACATGTTCTTCGTCCCTGCTTATAATCATTACAGCATGTTTCAATGTTTCAATTTCTGCTTTCTTATTTTACTCGGTATTGGCAGGCTTCTAAACCGTTTACACCAAGGCTATCGCCTGACCATTAAGAGCTCAGAATATTGTTACAACCCCATTTTCTAAATGATGATTCTGAAGTCAATCGTTTGTCGGTTAGGTGTGTGACCAAAGGAGAAATGGAAATTTCTGATACATTTAATGGTTAAAAGAAATTTATTGATTTTAAACGGAAAATATTTAGTGCCATTATGAACCATCAACTTGATGATCAGAGTCTAATTACATATTTTCAAACTCACGCTTGAAGTACAAGGTATGAAGTCAACACTATAAAATTCAACAGCTCTATTCCTTCGCTACTACATATTAGTTTCCATTTGAACTGTATGCCGCATAACAAGGTTCTTGAATGGTAAGGGAGAAAACGGAAACGGGAACGCGACATCGACTCAATTATGTATTATAACATCAGATTACCATGGATACAGTCTTCTTAAGTATGTATTGTATTTTGCAAAATAACTACAATTAAATAGACGCAGTATAAATCAATTATTAATATACAGGGTGTTGCAATATAAAACATTAAATATATTTTCATCATTAAAAATATTCAAAAATATCTGTAACGTAATTCAAATAATCCTATAAAATATATGAACTAGGGATAACATCTATTCTCAAAAATCATCTTTCTGAAATTTTTTCACAAAAAAAATATTAAGAAATAAAAATTGAGAAGTATCAAAAGATATATTTAACCATTTTTATCTTTCATATCTCTATACTTTAGCAAGCCCTTGTATCTTAAACTTCATGTATTATCTGATAATAGTATCTTCTGACACTATTATCTTTCTATCCTTACTTTACCCAAGGCAAACTATTTCTATACGTGTGTAGTTACATAAAACTACACAGCTTTCCCTTAAAATAATAAACTATTTCTGCTGCGTATAGGCATTTAAATACATAAATATTTATGCACATTTCAGATAATGGATCAGAGAACAAAAATCAATCAAAATTATCTAGCCCGATAATCAACACAAACAGATAAGCTGGCGCCACATGTGAAATGTTTGGCTGACTCCGGCCGATAATTACCGACGGAGGATGAACAGCTGGTTATAGGTTAACGATCGTCCTATAACCTATAAGAGTCAAATTCATCGACCCACAGACAAACGTAGAATGTGTGCAAAAAGTAACAGAGCGCGTGAATCGCTCTATGAAGCTCGGAGATAACAAGTTTTACGACATTGAGCGTCGGACCCTCCATACTTTCAACTCGTGTTACGCTTAAGTTATGCCAAGGTGAACATGGGCTATGCGTTTGTCCTATATACACGACGAATTTGTGTTGTGTTTAGTGTAGCACGCTCTTAAAACTATTTAATCTTAGCGGGACGTTACTTAAATTCACGCTGGTCAAGTGTCTCTTCGAACGTGATTAACGGTCAAGTAAATTTGATTACATATTCAAACCCATTGTATGCAGTGATCAGTATAACAATGAACGTCAACTACTGACAAGTATAATTACTTATAATTGTAATTAGATACGTATAAACACTGGCAAAGCGTAGTGTATTTAGCCTAATGTGTACAATTAATACACATTATTCTTCTACATTATGTATGAAATACTATTCTGTAATGAATATGCAAAATTAAGTAGCATGTTTTTGAAATAATGGATAAATCAGATGTACAAAAATGTGATTAACTTCAATTGCAACATTAGATAGCAAGAATTAAGTGGAGATTGATATCTACAAAATTAAAATTTTCATATGTGAATTTTATATTTATATTCTTATATGAAGAAAACAACAAAAATGATCTCAAACTGACAATGATGTTACTGTTTGAAACGGATTAAAAAATAAATCCACCTTTCAGTGATATATAAAATTGTATGTAAAATACAATACGTACAGACATAAAAATAATACGTAAATTTTAAAATCAATACTAATTAAAATTAATATTGGAAATGAATTGTGAAGAAAAATTGTATATCTACGTAATGTTATATAGAGTATGAGTCGTTTATACATGGAAGAGCATTATTATCAAAAAGAGACATCGATACAAAAATTTCTACTATATTCTCGTTATTAATTTATTAGATCGGTCGGCAAAGAGGTTACCTGTACCACTATAACCCTTTCTGCGTCTGTAACTATATTGCATTACTATTGTCCTGACTCGTAAAGTATAAAATGGTACTGCATAACGTCATGCGCGGCGCGAAAATTGTGATAGCAGATTTTCGTAGAACAGGATTAAAGACATAAACTATAGGAATGACATGATGTAAGACCTGAATCTAAAGTGGCACTGATATAAATTTATAAATTTCTTATCATTCGAACAATAATTATCATCCGATTAAATCATAAAAATGCAGGAACATTTTTATTTATATTTTACTGTATAAAATTAGAGAAATACACATATTTCAGAATTTACAATGAACTGGCGTGTTTGAAATGGTTAATTACAAATATGCAAGGTTATGTAGCTTTAACCTAAAAACGCCATCTGTGAGAATACAGTGTTTAAAAATGTTACACAGGGATAAACGTCACAAAAATTCTTGAATTCCCGGTATTTTTTTTTCCTCATTCTTAGTCACGTATGGTATATATTAATTGAATACAAATAAGATGCATTCGAGATAAAGCTGTTTTAAATATTTGAAGTGACTCAAAATGTATATACGCAAGGAGTGCTTGTGTAATCCGTTCATTCATCGATAATACTTGATCAGTAACCACGTACAATTTTACCATGAATTCGATACTTAACGGAAAGATCGATGACACCTGTTTGTAGAATGTTGCAACTATGATAACATTCCTACAATAGGGTAAATAAAAAATAATGTTAACAACCGGCATTGAATCTCTACTTAGAACAAGCAGTACTATTCCGGAAGTTTGAATCGAGTGTAATTCAAAGTAATTTGAAGTAAACTATTGTAAATTGATTGAATGTCACGACAAAATATATATTTTACAATTTATACGCGTATCTTTGTCCAATCGAAACAAAATTTCTAACATAAAGTGGAACATCGTACCACGTGAATTTCAAAATTGGTTACAATCGAATATTAGTGAAAATATCGTCTGTGAAAAATGAAACAACTTCACTGCTTACCTCCTCTATATACTACCACAACTATTTCGATTTTCCGATCTCGTAACTTCTTCCCGACGAGTTCGACGATTCCTGTCGACTAACAGTCTGTTTTCCCACCGCGATCAGAAGAGGAAATTATCACTATACGCGATCCAAGGGTCGAGAATGGTGTGGGTCTATGAGTATATGTGTAAGTAGCATTTATATGTATGCACGTATATGTTGACAATACGTAAAGAAGAGGGACGAGGAAAGGACACGAGGGACTGCCGATCCACGACGTGACGTACCCTGCTGCGGTCGACGAACAACTGAATTCGAATCATGATTAACACAAGATGCTACGTGAGTTATATTTTTCTGGCAATCTTTGATCTTTGATCCTTGTTTCACGACCGTGAAACTCAGTTCTCAATCTTGATATTGGCTAACACTCGCGAAGGATAAACGCAACCGATATGTGACAATGAGACAGCTGTTCGACACATCGTCTACGCATTGTCGATGCGTGTGTTACGTCGAGAATGAGATCGATCGTTTCCACTTATATTCTGATAAATTAAAGAGTACTCGGTACTTATATTCGAAGCATGCATCACTTAAACTATCTTGCTATTCTTACATTCGTTACGATAATCGATTGCGAAGATCGAATTTCTTTAAATCTTCCCTCAGTCAGAAGAATTGTCCCAATGACTCGTTGCTACTTGATAAGCTAAACCTAGAAAAACTTAACACCACGTGCTTCTGCACTATAAACTTGATGCAATTCACCGTTGACCGATTCTATACTTGTGGCGATAATACGTAACACACACTCGAGCGACAGCTCAGTATTCGCGCGAATAATACTTCGATATTAACATTTCTTCAATATGTAAGACACTTCTTGCCGTACACATGTCAAACTTTTAACCTATCACACATTGAGAGTTCACGAATACTGCGTATTTTCAGCAAAACTGAACGTATCCTACTCTCGCACGTACTAACGCCAGCGCAGAACACCGACCACTCTATACATGCTCGATCCAGTAGCAGCCATCTTGCTATTCGTAAGCTTAAAACTGAAGGAATCGATGAAGGAACTTTAATACAAATTGTTGAACATATAATAGATTCTAGATAATTTTTAAGAACATTACGAACTGAAAATATCGATGAAAACCAGCTCGATTTTTAACATAGCATTTGGAAAAAGATTGTTATAGTTTGAATACACTTTTGACTTGAAATCTCCCGCCAATTTTTTAAGATACCAGATACCGTATACTTAAAAATTTTGAATGATTAATCTTAAAATTTTTGTTAACATGACTTAGCAAACACAGCAATCACTAAAAATTATCTAATTAAGCATAAGTAATGTTAAATAACATAGCATAGATTAATTTATATGCATATAAGGACTCAAGGATTTGACTGGCAAACCGCGACGGTCATGGTTTTTGATATAGATAGCTGGCCTACACGTGAACCAATCACAAGCCGAGTTTCAATGGGCGGGGAAGTGGCGTGATCCATGATGACGTCATGGTAGTCCGCAATCGATAACTACTCGACGTTTAGCAAACCCCTTCTAACCCCGTTACTGTAGTACAACATACGATCAATGTTCAGCTTCAATGCACCAAACATCTCTTACGGTATGATCGCGTATTCAACACTTTAATAAAATTTATTGATTACTTCAATAAAAGTACTAGAATGTCGTTCTAACTATACTTTCAGTTATGAAAATAGGAGACAATGTCTAATGTTTGAGTTTTTCACGAAAAAAAGAAACTATGTATGTTATTACCATCAAAGTAAGAAAGTGATTTTACCGACTATACTGATTTCTACTGTAGTTAACTGAATTTTTGATAAATATTACGGTACAAATATAATCGTTTTATTATTCTGCAAAATTTAATATAAAAAATACAACTAGAAAGTAACTTATGTTTATTGTTCTTTTGCCAAATATGATGTAAAATTTTTTATTTTAATGTTTTTCATGTTTATATAAATATAAAAAATATTTTTGTTTTATATGTCAACGTAATTTTTACATTTTCAATTCATTTTTTACTTATATTATCGATGTATCTTATACAAATTGAACTGCTTTTTCATAATTAAAACATATATTATTATATTTTGATGCATATTTTATAATACAATAAAATAATTAAAATAATAAAATCATTGAGGGCAAAATAATTCTAAACTATGGTTTTGCATACAAAATCATATTTTTAATTACTTCAATAATTTAACGTATACATTTAAACCGAACATTATATTACAGACTTTAATTTTCATAACGAAATACGTAATGTAATACCTTATACAATAAAATCAACAGCATAGTTAACGTTTAAATTTTATTAAAACCAACAACATTAACAAGAACAACAAGAACAAATCATTCCTTCGGAAACAGTTCATAGAAACTCGATCTTACACAAAACTCAATCGTCCTGCCGCATGTTGTTCAACGACGTTGAATATCAGTTAGTTATGCACTCGTATAGAATGGTTCACATCATGAATGATCAAGTGCCGGGAGACCTACGACATTAGTAACATGATTCAAATAATAATAGCCTCGAAATAATAACAACGGTTCGAATCAAACCTTCTAATCACAAAATGCATTAAGACACCTGTCGTTAAGGATCCAATCACGATGCTGCTACAGTCGCTAAAAGCAGTGCAAGAAAACAAGCCAGCAAAACCATAGAGTATGTAGTTATCAGTATGGTTATGAGGTTAGTAACATATGAAATACGCATTTCAGTTGAACGAGGGATATACGATTCACAAGTATCCTTGCATTTTGTAATCTCACCTTCGCAATTTTGGTCGCGTTCATCATTGTGTGGCTTAACATCGGTCGATATTACAGTTTCTTCTTGATCATGTTCCTTCTCTTTTTCATTATTCGACGCTATTAAATTGCTTTCAATATTTAATGAGGGGACATCCTCTTCAATTGGAACATTATTACTACAAGGAACATTATTTGCAATATCTTTCTTCAATAATGCCTCTAATTCTTCAAACTCCTTTTCATGCTCGCATAAACTTGCCGCTGCTAATTGCAAATCATGGACAGCTTTGGACAAATCGAGTTCTGGATTGGTATACGAATCAGTTTTCACTTCCTCTGGTTCTACCAGGTTGTTATCATCATTGAAAGTTATCGTTGTATCTTTTTTAGGAACTACATTTGATGCATCAGTGGCCCTTGATGAACTAGACAGATCGTCATTTGTATCGTCTTGACTATAAGTAACAGAGCTACGAGTACTAGTATTGGGCGCCGTACTATCGGTTTCTATTTCAGAACGGTACGTCAGCGAATTCTTTTGGCTTAAACGACTATCACGTAAGTGATCTGCCACACTGCTGAACGCCTCCGCAATTAGTTTAACATTTTCGTCCGCGACACGAAGATAGAAGTCGAATGTATTATCGTCAGTCTTCTCAGAACCATCGTTTTCAGGATTAGTGAGGGACTCCGTTAGATTCTCAATGACTTCCTTATCTGCACTTTCTTTATGTTCAGAATTATTTTCAGAATAATGACTAGCTAAAAATTGAATACGCAAAACATCCTCCATTTTATTACAATCATTCGAGGCGTCTGCTATTACAGGAAGTTCTGAACGAACATTTACTTCCTCAGTCGGTTCCACTACCATATCGTTTTGCCCTTCAATCAAATTGACTAAATCTTGGCATAAACGACTATATGCTGTAAAATCAGTTTCCGTATCTTGATTGGACGACTCATTAGATTTGCTCTGCACGCAGTCTTGCCAGAATTCATTGTTAAGAGCCTTGGACAATATGTCACTGGATGTCACAGAGTTCTGTGCACTCAAATCATCTTCATTTTTATATTCAAAGGTTTCTATTTGAGTCGATGATGGTACATAAACACGCAATTTCTTTCTATGCGTGTTTGTAACTGAATGGTTACCATTTATATCTGTTTTAGAGTGCTTCAATAAATCGTCAGTATGCCATCGGTCGTAATCTGAAAGCTCACCGTCGCTCACGACACGTCTATTAGACCGTACAAACAACGACTTAGTATCTATCATTGTGTTACTTATCTCATCTTTGATTTCTTGAAGACTAGGTTCCCTTCGAAGATGAATTTTGTCGTGATTAATTAAACCGTACAGATTGGCTGATAGAGACCTAACTGCCCGTTTCTTCTTCGTACCAAAAGTGGTTTCCTGATTCCTAATGATACTGTTTTTACTTTCAACAGGGCTCTTTGGCGTGTTGGCATCCTTCCTGAGAGCTCGGTAAGCCAAGTCGTCTGTAACAATGTCAGGCTCGCACTGAGGTATGTACGATGAACGAGGATGGTCCGGCTTAGTCGGTGTAGTGTGTAGGTAGTCGCTTTCCGTAGCAGTCGTCACTGGTCCTAAAGGTATTCCGAATGGAGGTTGAGGATCGACCACTTTTAACGTATTGTTAGCATGATGAATGCTTCTATACACAACATCGTCCCGCGTCACGTCTGGCTCGTCTCGACGTGTCGGGTAATTTGCAGTATATAAGTAATCAGTTGTGTCTTTACGTGACAAAACAGGCGAGGCTATCAGGTAGCTGATATTAGAAAGTGCAGATTGACTGACCACTTCCGATAGTGACGTAGGTCTTTCCTTTGGATGCATTCTTCTGTAAGCCATATCATCTTTTGTTCTATCTGCAGGATCTTCTGAAATAAATGGAATAGTGTTAGTTTGCGCACGACGTAGACTAAACTCCTCCATACTGCGTCGTTCCGCTCGATCAAGAAGATCTTCGTCTCCAAGACGAAGACTGTTGTATATTGCTTCTAACTCAGAAAGTGCCTCCTCAAGATTCTTAGAACTTCTTTTTCGTTGTAACATATCTTGTTCATTAGTTACTTGTTTTTCCTCATTTTCTTCTATTCGTGTATTCTCTATAAGTGTATCATTTGGTAAATTGTAAGAGTTTTCTCGCACTATTTGTTTGATTGGTGATCTCGGACACGAAGAATCTAAAGGCTCGTTAAAAGCAGGTGGCATGGAATTATTGCGCAAGTTTTTAATATAAGTAGTAGACAATCTATTCTCACACATTTTGGTATCATAATCTTTAAAGCTTGAAGTAAGTTGATCGTTGCGATCATTTCTTCTCTGACACTTCATTGCTTCCGTTTCTTTAAATATTGGTTCATCTATATGTCTACCAGTTGAATTATGTCTATTGTTTGTACATTCTGATAAATTACAAGACTGCATCGAGTTTATAGTCAAAGACAATGGACGTCGTGGACACTGTTTAGTCGAGCCATACCAATTGATTTCGTTATTCGATTCATAGGATCTTAAACTCTTTAAATGATCCTTGGTAACTTCATGAATGTCATTCATTTTGGTACGTAAACTGTCGTCATATTTCGACACGCGATATTTTCCATTAAATGGAAAGGAATTATAACCACAGGCGAAGACTCGACAACGACAAGACCAATCTCTTGGTGGAGGTTCAGGTGGAGAAGAACTTCGACTTGTAAATTGGCGATTTCTAGCGTAATCATACGGGTCAGCATAAGTTGCATTAGCCGTGGGTGAATTGAGAAAGTAATTATTTTCCTCTTGATTTGTGTAATTTTTATTTTTATGCAAAACATTCGGTTTTGCATATGTGTTATTTTGATTTAAATCTGTGATATATTGACTTGTTGATTGTTTCGTAATATCAGCAGAAGATTTTGCTTGTAGATTGGATGTAACTATTCCAGATTGCCGTAAGTTTTCAACAGATTTTTGTACAGGAAATGTATTGCTGTTAGAATAATTAATAAAGTGTGGTGATTGTTGTGGCAACTGAAATAATTCATTTGTATCCATAGATGTAAATGATTGTTGTTCCTCATTCATAAAATCAAAATTACTACGTTTGTTTGTTATATTGTTCAAATTTTCTGGGAACTTGTGGCCTTCATCTCTGGATAATCGTTTTATGTAACGTTCTGTACGTGCTGCACGACTTTTTCTGTTACAAGAACTATTTTTCTGTGCATTGTGCACAGCACTTTCATTTTGGTATCTTGTTAACGAATTAGAAGATTTACGTGAATCTTCATCTGAACTACTATTTGCACAAATACGATCTCGTTTTGCTTCTACTTGTGCCTTCAACTTATTTTTCCTTGCCTTCTTACTTAATCTATCTAATGATCCATCACTGCTACGAGAGATCAAAGAATCCCATTGCAAACCAGCTACATCCATAGATTTTTCAACAGTATCATTTGAATCATTGCTGTTTAAAGGTTGATTCAACCCCTTTTCAACTGGATGAAGAACAACATTATGTGATTTTCTATTAAATACTGTGCGAGGTCTTGGTTGCCTTGTACAATATACAATTTCCTCATCATTTGAAGAACTATCATAATCTCTTATCGAAGATATTCGTTTTAAGATTCCACCAAATGACCATTTCTTTTCTTTTTTTTTGTCTGTAGAAGTCACTGCATTACAGACAGGTAAGCGTCGAGTTGGTGGTAAAAGACCATCCATTCTTAGAATGTCCTTTCCACTGATACTTCTCTTTTCCATCGCGAATAAATAATTTATCTACTTAAATATATTACAATACCTAAAAAAATTACAAATTTATTAATATTAAATATTTAAGTACTTAATATTTTTTTATAAAAATATGGTATTTCTAATTATAGTATCTTAATGTATTTACATGTGTTAATATACACTAATTATATTTATAAATATAATAACACATTGTTAATCTTAATGTTTGTAATTTTATATACGAATATATGTGTACATATATATATCTACATAAATATATATACATATATATATAAATGCAGAAAATGTGTAAAGATATGCGGGTGCAAACACTTTGTTACAACTATCAAATGAATTACGTTTTATTTAACCAATAAATCTTTGACTCCTAATATCGATATGTTTACACAAAGTATACCTTGAAACACGGTTTTCCTTATAAACAATTATATACTATTACGTACATGTATATAAATAGATTATTGTCTGCTAACCTCTATGCAGACAGTTGGCTGAATGATTCAGATAAGTATTAGGCGAAGGGCGAATATTCTGTACATTTGCCAAAAATGTTTTTGTGACTCAGAAACGTCAGTCACAAAATTTGATCACAATGCACAACATAAAAATTGCGAGACTACAACTCAGGTCAGTACATCCAGTGCAGTGCTGATAATGCTGATAAGATCTCCACACCTCTCTTACAGACTTTCGCAATACCCTCGTTATCTTGACAGATGAACTATAAAAGCGGTGTCTCGACTTCTCTGTGGTAGACTGCAACGGGTTTCTGTGGCCTTCGACGGTTTGGAACGGAGATTTAATTGCGTTCAGAAATTACAGAAAGTTTGACTAGCTTCGAGACACCTATGATCTGTAACTGATCTTTGCCTTGCGCTTATTTAGCGCTGCTATTACATGAACATCGAAGAACGCGTATTACGCGTCGAACACAAAGGATACTGTTGGACTACGCGAAACTGACTCGAATCAGATCGAATCAGATATGAGAAGAGAAGGGATTCATCGTTTAGACCCCACCCATTATACCTACCTCCCCCCGTACTGTGGCGCAGAATCACGCACGGTAAATCGTACACGCACTTACGCACCTACGCATAACAGGCGTATATATTTACTTTTTTCTTTGGAACTTTTGTCACAGCGTTTCTTAAACTCGATTTCAAGAAATTTAGCGTGCTTACTTTATTTCATTATTGCTATCATAATATAGTACCCGTATTATGTGAAACACACACGTACAAGTGAAATAGAATCGCTTGTTGTGAGAATGTGTTGTTCTCTACAGCAGTACATAGAGGGGGACACGTAAGGGGCTCCAGTGTGAACAGCACTGCTTTATGACGATGCATTACATAGAAACCCTCTTTGCTAAAACTCCGATGGTATAGTAGGAAAACGCCATTCTTCGGCTAGCATCGGAAATAAAGGAATTTATGAAAGCGGTTCTTTTAACTTTATTTATTTCCTTTTCAATCATAAAATGGAATGTGAAATTTGTTATATAATTTAACCATTTTTTTCCCGGCGTAACAACCATTAAAATCATTTACTCATTCTTTTTAACGTGTTGATAAGTAGAAAATGAATGGTTTGGTACTCGAATTGACTCATACAAACCTTGAACTTACGACATCGAGCCGTTCTTAAGATTCAGCTGCGAATTGTGCTGAATTCCAGATCTGAATTACGTCAGACCGTGGCATTCGACAAACCGCGAAACTAAGAGACAATATTATAAATAGAGATTCTTCTTGTGCTGGTGGTCTGCTGATATAGGTATTTTTATATAAGTTAAACTTGAGTCTTTGTATTTTTTTTTTAAACAATAAAAGTACAAACTAATATAAAAAAATTAAGACAATAATATTAACTGATTCAGATAAGATTACTATTATTATCGTTATTAAAGAAAGGAACTTAGATTTCGAAAAAAATTAACGTTCTTTGGCTCACATTGATACACTTTCATCAAAATCAAATAGCATCGGTATTAAAATCGTAATTGTGTCTCGTAAGCGAGGCAAAGTACTTCGCGCTTTCATCACTCTAAATTGCATATAATTGTACGAGACGCACATTTCTCATACGCTCCGTCGATTTATACTCGCGTATATATAGGGTGTTCGAAAAGTTTAGCAAATCTTTTCCGCGGAATAAATAATCGTAGTAGCGTGTACTATGATTTTATCAGACAAAATTTAGATAAAATTATAATGATTATCATCATAACGCGATTGCGATTCGAGTCAGAAATTATCAACGCGTCACGTGGTATATTTCAGAGCATTTGAAAAAGCGCGGTTATGTATGACGTGAATTAACGTCGTCGGAATGCGCGACATTTCTCTCTTTTAGAGAGTTGAATCTTGCATCCTGGTGCAAGACAACGATCGTTTGAAAAAGTTCTTATGAAACGCATGTCTCACATTTATCGCATTAATATACAGGGTGAGCCATTCGAATCGCTCGTTTTAATTTTAACTTAGAGATTTCGAAAGTAACGAAAGAGATGTAAATTACACCAGTTTTATCGAATTTAAAAAATATTAAAAAAGGTGAAAGAGATAAGGAAGGACATAAATTACACTTGCTTTTATTACATCTTAAAATTACCATTCACATCTCATGCAATTATCAAGCATTCGTATTACTTCCAATTTCGTTAAAAAACCTGAAAAAAATTGGATCAGAAAACACGCGAAGGTGAAAGTATTTTTCAAATTCATCCGTAGGTTTAAGCGGCATCTTCAAGTGTCCGCGTTATTCCTTTTTTTCGTCGTACGAACGATCTTAAAGAGCCCATAAGAGAAACTGAAACACGGTTATAAAACTTTCAAAAAATCATCGACGGTGCAAACCTCGTTTCCATGTATTCATTCTGTTTCTTCCTGCTCTCGTTAAACCTCGAAGAAACGGCAGTTCCACGAAGTCCTGAATCAGCTCTTCTTCCGTTCTTTTTCTCGTTTCGTCCACTTGGATCGCGCGTTAAGTCCGATACCGTTGAAATACAAAAGAAAAAGCGAGTGCAACGCAAGTTTTGTGAAAGTTATAATCCTTCGGTGGACATTTCGTGCGGGTTGCCAGACGTGGCGCGTTTACAAGCGAGGTGTTAAGGGCCCGGGGAAGACCGTGTTATTCATTCGAAATTAGGTATTCATGCTGCATCATTCCGGTCCAGAGAGCCATATACGGCTGGCCAAAGACACGGGGCATGATGTATGCGTTGGTACCTCGTCGGTGCAGCAGGAGAAAGCTGCTTTCAGCGTTAATTCAGGACAGGTACCTTTATTTTGCGCGCGGCAAAAACTCGATAGGCGAAAAAATCGACGGGCCGCCGATTAACGCTCGAAATAGCGGGCAGGATCTTTTTATAGCTCGGTGGATGTCTATTTATACCTGAAAGTATGTTTAATCGGCGTGCGCGAAGGGGAAGTACCCGGTGTCGTTATGCGCGAAGAACTAGTTGCGGTGAAAATGGCGTTTAATGTCCGGAGGTACGCGATGAATGGATGCTTCTTTAAAAATTGTTATTTCGTCGAAATAACACGATCGTTTAGCCTCGAAGTGATGTTTCAAGACATATAACACGGTGTACTGGCGAGTAAAATGTTCCTGTCCGTTGAGAATGCGCCTGTATTTATTTTACTTCCGATGTTTGCCAGGAGGTACGTGGTCGGCTGTTTATTTGGATAAAACGTATTCGCGAAATACGAAGAACGTCGGGAGGAAATCCAGGGGACGAGAGAAAAATAATTTTCGAACTCGTTTCAAGTCACAGTGGAAAGTAGCCTGTATTTTTGAAACACCCTGTAGCCGAGTACTGCTCGAGATCGGCAGGGTAAACGCTGTAGCTGTAGCAGGAATTAGAGGGTTATATGTATGAATGTCGACTCTGTACATCGCTTTTGGTACCAATGTTAATATTAGCATTGCAAGATTATCGTTATCGGGATAGATATTGCAGCATGTTGTCGCTAATGTTAGTACAACGGCGCACTACCATTAGTGCAAACATTGGAGCGTAAGTAGAGTAAATATTAACGTGAACGTAGCTTAATCGCTATAAATTGCAACAGCAGCGAGAGGTTATGGGTGATTTTTATAAAATATCACAGTTGAGAATTTCGAGCAGTAAAAATTGGATGTGCAGGCGACGCGAAAGTCTCGAGGATACGAATCGAGACAGCCTGTAGAAATGGCGGCCATTCCGAGATTGCAGGGTCAAGTGATGACAAGGACAACAACCGTATGAGTGTTAAGCTTTTTCGTTTATTGAAAATATCTCTGTAAAACGTGTGTATATTGTGGCCGGGCGAGGTAAGCCGACAAAACCGAATCTTTTTCGACAACGAAACGAAATCGGGTAGCAAACGAAGGAATACGGTGAAGACATTGAAAACAATAATAGAGTCGAATCGTTATTTAGTTATCTACATAAGTAAAGGACGAATCAACGATGCATTCGCTTACTTTTCTTTTTTTCTCTTTTTTTTTTTTAATCTTAGTATATTAATTATATTATGTATAACAAAGCGGTAACAACTTGTTAATTGTAACTATTACGGTAATAATCGTTTACTTTATATAATTACAATAATGTAATGTAAGGATGATCGTTAACTAATCGATAACAAACGAATCGTTTCCTCCTCCATCCTTCCTTCGTCTTGATCATCATATTATCCTCGTCACTTTCTTATACTTCGTTTTTTCCCTATTTTTCCTCCCTTTTTTCTTTTGTCTTTTTTTTCTCATTTTTTTCTTTTTTTTTTTAAATCCGATATCGGTCTTCAGCGTTTCGTTAATTATTTTGTTCGTACATTCCCTCTTTCGTATTAATTATTTAACAACAGTTTTTTTATCCCTTTTATTATTTGCTCTTTAATTTAATAATCGTAGTAAACATAGTAATTATTTATAATATTGTGCAAATAATCCATATTTTTATTTTGTTTAATAGTAATGTATGTCATTCAACGGAGGAGCTCTTCTACGTTCTCTCTTTCTCTCCCTCATTTTCTCGCTCTTTCGCTCTCCTCTCGCGCTCTCGTTCACTAAACCTCACGCTCGCTCTCTTGCTCTCTCGCTTTCGTTCTCTCTCTCTATTTCTCACGCATACACGCTCTTTCGCACGCACTCTGTCTCGATGTCTCTCTTTGCTTGCTCGCGCGCATTCACGACACGCATTTGCGCATGCGCGCCGCCGCGGCACGCGCCCGCGCATGCGCGCACAAGCGCGAGCACTCACGGAGCACGCATTTGAATGGACGATCCTTCGCGCGTAATGTTATTTATTTTTTTTTTCGACAGCTAGCTCGTTAAAATTGGATTTATTTATTTTTTTCTTTTTTTTGGTTTCTTAGCACATTTCGTCTATCTAGCTTGTTGACCCATGGCAGTTGCTTGTTCATTATACTGGCCGACAGGCTCCGCAGCTTGACACTTTACTCGATTATTCTCTTTTTTTTT